AAGATTTCCTTGTCATGAAAGGGCGAAGGCACTATATGCGTATCTTGAAGTCCAAATCTATTCAAATTTGTGTATATACGCCACCTGCGAAAGGTAGACCCGACCGTCTATTTGAATGATATCAACTCCAAGGAATGTGCTGACTTGGTCGTTATCGGTGAGGTGATATTGATTGTCTTTTTGATTCGGTCTTTTAGCCAGCTTCGCGCATCGTCAGAAGGTGTGATGATCAACATATCATCGACATGCAGAAGGACATAGAGCTTGCGTTTCATGTTAACGAAGACTGGGTGATCGGCCTGTAGACGTTTGAATTCAATGGCAAGGAGTGCATTATAAACGGTGTTATACCACTCATTTGGGCTCTGCTTCGGGCCCTATAGCGTTTTGAGAAGGAGGCCGCATTTCCTAGGCTCTTTGAAACCTTCAGGAAGATCTATGTAAATTTCTTCCATTAATTCGATGTTCGAGAACGTAGCCACGCAACCGACGTGATGTATATTCCAAGCGTATTGGGCTGCGATCGCGCAGAGTATTTTGAAGCTCGAAGCCTTGGCCGTACCGGCGTAGACGTCAAGTTAGTCGATCCCTTCACGCTGCTTGAAGCGTTTTGCAACCAGGCGGGCTCTGTAAGTGCCGTCATCCTTGATGCGGAAGACCCATCGAAGTGATATTAGAGTCTTCTGATTTTTCGTCTTTTTAGAAGGACAATCATCCATTCACCAAGTACCATTTTTCAGCCGCTTTTGCATCTCCTTGTGCGCTGCTTCAAGCATCGTAGCCAGCATCGTAGCCAGATCCGTCGCGTCTAGCCAATCACAGGCGAGCCCTGATGCCTTACTTCGCAAACCGCTAATAGCAGAACGCCTCTTCCCTTAAGGGAAAAAAGAAAACTATCTGTTGTACGCCAGTTAAGAAAAGCTTCAGAAGGACTCATAGACTTTTGTTCTAACTGTCTGCGTGGTATCAAGGATCTCAAAGGCTGGAGAGGAAAAAAGAAAAGAGAAGAGGCTACAGTCCATCCTGAGTTTTGAGACGGTGCGCGTGGTGTGCGTTGCACACGTGTCTCCCATCCTCCCATGTCCAATCCTCTCTCTCGTCTTGAGTCCGTTCAGTCCTGTCATGTTCACAACACTATCCCCCCCTAACTCCCTAAGCGTATATCCTAAAGAAAGTAGCCTAGATTATTGTTGTAACTTATATCTCTGACGAGACAACAAATATCAATAGATTCAATATAGTGGTAGTAAGTACTGAGTAGGAGGTAATTACTAACTAGTGATCGCCTCTCTACTACTACTATCTAGTCTTTAGTCCACCTCTGCTCCCGTGCCGCGTATCGAGTATGCACTGTGCACTGTACACTGTGCAGTGGTGCGCTCTGCGCCTCCATTGCGCAACAAGTGCACCCGGTGTTCAGCCAATCCTATGGCGCGTACCCAGTGCGCACTCTGCGCCTCCACCCCACGACGGGACCAGTACACTCTGCCCATCCAATCCCGTGTCGCGTTTCCAGTACGCAGTTACGCACTCTAGGTACCTATCTGGTAATACTGATCATAGTTCTTTTTACTAACACATCATCTTTAATCAAAGTTTTTCTTAACAGTAGTAGAAAATTCTGCCCCTCTTTCGAGTACCTCATCCAAAAACTCGATATCTTCCAGCTTCAGCGATACATCAGTGAAAATAAAGGACTAGTGTTGCCTTAGACTTATACGTACCTTCACACTAGTAAACTGGTACTAGAGGTGATGAGTAGGCCACTAAGTACGGTAGCTGTTACGTAGTTGCGGGCGTCCATACATCCGTAATACTAGACCCACCGATATGAACCTTGTAAACTTGTACTGGAAACGCTGATATGGATACTAGATAGCTACAGCGTAACAGTACAGGCGAATTAGGATATGAGTCGTATGATACGTGATTCTGCCAGATGGCGGTATCCCCGACTCCCGAGCGGTGACCTGGATTGCCGCCGTAGCCAGCAGTCCCCGCTAGTTCAGTAATAACGTATCCCACAAACATCGTGAAAATATCTCTCCCATTAGGAATATTTGCTATGATGGCCCGGCAATATGAAGTGAGTTGCTATCACATGCCTATAGAGGTCCACTTCTGACTTCTATAGGATGCTATTGAGTGTCTTAATTCGAGACGGAGCGTTGCGCAGCCAGACCTAAACCAAATGAGGGGTTCGGATGATATGTTGAAATGGTTGGAATTGCTCGGTTATTCTGTATGACGAGGCTTGATGTCACGACAGAGTGAAAATACTAACGCTCTACTAGCAAGCCGACTTGGGAAGACTGAACGTTATCCATGTAGCCGGAACAAATGGAAAAGGAAGCACCTGTGCATATATCTCGTCCATACTTCAAAGCTGCGGTTGCAAAGTTGGGCTCTATACTTCGCCACATCTCCTCACTATACGCGAGAGAATCAGGATCAATGGCCGACCGATAAAGGAAGAGACCTTCACTACGTATCTTTTCGAGATATGGGATAAACTGCCGCTTCAAGCTAGTGCCAACATGGACTTTCCTCGATACCTTCAGCTTTTGACCTTGCTTTCTTTCCATGTCTTTCTACAAGAAGGGGTCGATGTTGCAGTCTACGAGCCACACATGGGCGGCACTTATGACGCGACAAATGTCGTTCGGTCCCCAGCAGTAACAGCAGTGACTCGAATTGCGAAGGACCATGTCAGATTACTTGGGCCCGACCTTCAAGATATCGCTCGGCATAAGGCAGGCATCTTTAAGTCTGGTTGCCGAGCTTTCTCGGCGCCCCAGGAGGCAGAGGTCACCAAGGCTCTCGAGCAGCGTGCGCGTGAGCTCGAAAATGTGACTTTGTCATTTGTTGAGCCAGATTCATCGCTACAAGTGATACGCTTTCAAAGAGAAAACTGCTCACTTGCCATAGAAGTGGCTAAGGAATGGATATCGCTTCGGAAGCCTGCGAAATTGTTCAGCTTTAGTGAGCATATCAATAGGGGCTTACGGATGTTTGACTGGCCAGGGCGTTACCAGCAGATAACCGAAGATGGCAATCACAAATGGTTTCTTGACGGTGCGCACAATGAATCAGGATTGTCCACCGCAGTGTCATGGTTTGCTGAAACGAGTACATCACAAAGGTAAGAACTGGTGACCTATGAACACATTCTGTGATATTGTGCTTATTCCTGTAGTGTCGATACCTCAACGACGAGGATAGTCATATTCAGCCATTTTTCAGATCGTGATGGCGCTACTCTCTTGCGTACTATCCTTAAATCTCTCTACGCGGAGAAACTCAAAGTACAATATTTAATATTGACTACCTACAATGAGCGAGCTAACGGGCACGTAAGAATCGGTATGTATCCCAATATCATAAGGAGAACCTGGCAGGTTGTTAATATTATCGTAGACAGGAATCTGAGAGCGCGATCCAAATTCGACAAGTTGGACGAATACGTGCGTTGCTGGAAGGAACACGAACCCAGTACCAAGGTATATTGTAGACAGACTATCGAGGATGCTCTGAAGCTGGCTCGTACGATTGGTCAGGCCTTTAAATTGGCATATGGGACAAAAGAGACACATGTTCTTATAACAGGAAGCTTGCACTTAGTGAGCGGTGCACTTAGTATTCTTGGGACTATAGGGCAATGAATGAAGCGCAATGTAGTAGCCAGGAGCCCCTTCCCACGTAGTGAAAGGAATTTCTTTGAGAAAGTAGGTTACTCGTTATAGGAGGGCCTAGGAGCGGGTAATCATATACCATATGGATGATATACAGCTACGATAGGGGCAGCTGTATGATGTGAGAGAGGGATAAGGAGTGAGATTGCTACTGAGGAGAGATTTGACCATAGTGAGCGGTTGTGACGCATTAAAAAAGGCCAATATGCGAACTGGCGAGTTCACTGACCAGTTGGCCAGTGAATGGAGAGGAACTAGAGGGATCGAGGAGGAGATCACGTGACCCATGTTTTGTGTTCACGAAAGTCAGGTGATCATATTCGTGTTGTTGTGTGTTGGAATCTTCCACACATGAGGGTTGTCTATTTTTCTGGGTACTTCTATGTGGAACCTTCCGTGCGAGTCTTTCCATGGGGATCTGCCGCCACGCCGCCGCTCTATCCCACAATTTATATTTGAGGCTTGACTTCGCCTCCCTCGCTTCTTCCTTTTCCTTTTCCTCTTCGTCTTAGTTTCTCTGTTTCATAGAACACAGTTGCTTCACCTTCTTCCCTCCTTACGTAGATTCTTGTAGCTGTACTGATACTCCCTCTCTGTATAAGACAGATAGCCCGTCACTAGAGCGCGGGAAGCCATGGGCATGAGAACTTCCGAGGACAATTGCACGCCCAGCTCGTTCTATGAGACACTTTATATTTACTAGAACACATCGTCTCATGATGTTCTCCCTCTATTAGCGTCGACGCAAGAGAACAAGCTACATAAGAACGACATGACCCCTGCAAAGGCTATGTCCTAAAAGATTTAGTCAAACGTGCGCTGGCGAGGCTTATTTAAGATACAAGGAACAGGAGCATGCTAAGAACAAGCGGTGGATAAGCAACATAGCAGAGGAAGTGCTCTTGCTAAACTTGGACAATCCCATATTTACGTCAGTACTGGAAATGAGACACTAAGCAAAGCATTGCGGAGGGGAAACCCCAAGAACTATGGGAATGAGTACATTAGGCTGTTCCAGAAGTTCAGCAAGTCAATTCTCTAGCTGTGACCTAGACAAGCTGATCATCAAATATCGGACCACGATAGCCAGTCATTGGGACCCTTGCCTCTTTCAATCCTTCTTTTGGCTCTGGTATCGTTATTGCATGTTACTCCATGAATGCTTCCCTCACCCGATAGGGCTTGATTTGCAGAGTGTTTATATCCACTTCTCAGCTGGATCTAACGTGCGGAGTGTGTCTTGATTTAATGCAGGCATTACTGTGCCTCCTTGGAAATAGCGTTGAACAAAGTATTTATAAATCAGCTCTAATCAAATGCGCTGCGTTCCCCCGAAATGGCACTATCGCGAACTTTGTTTGCCCTTGGACGGCACATCTCCAGTTGACCGGGTTCAAGAGTACGGTGAACGAGGAGCGATTCGGATGCTTCGTCCAAGTCGTGCAGGTTCCAGCCTCTTCTGTTAACAGCTGCAGTGGCCTTGGTCTCATACGTCGCTTTAAACTCCCTCCAAGGCATACGGAAATGTCCCTGTAGACCGAAAGCAATCACAACCAGATCATCCGTTGAACGCTCCACGTCAACGAAAATGATATCCTTCAGAAATGTTAGTTATTGTACTTGAAGTTCGTTTAAAGCATCCTACCCCATGTTCCATTCTGCTGTCCATCTGGTGCCCCTCTCCCTTCCTGCCTTTAAAAGCCGATGCAATGCTCGCAAAGAAGTTCAACACTATGTACGTATCAATGTCATGTACCTGGAGTTCATCGAGGCACTCACTTTCTGCAGATGACTAACTTGGCCTTGTCAATACCGCGCTCGCTTTCTAGCTATCAAATGCTCCTCCAGGACGACGTGTACAGCTTGGCACCGAAGATTCAGGGTTGGATTCAGATGAACCCCATCTTTTTGCTGGCATGAATATACGAATTTATATTTAACCGGAAGCAAATGGGCCCCCACAGCATATTGAGTGATGTCTCGATATTCCCTGCTATGGCGTTTCTGTGCATAGAGCTAGACAAAGGAGATCTCAAACGAGTTCACCCATTGTGATAGGCTCTGTGGTACGCTCGAAGGTCACAGTGGGCTCGGTAAGTGCAAGGCGCATTGAATCTTTTGACACACAACACGTCACTGAAGACATATTACCGCGAGGCCAGATCTGTAGCATAGAGAGGACAGGGGGGGCAAGGTAGACAGGACGGACAGAAGAGAAAGGGAGAGACAGGGAGAGATGGGGAGAGATGGGGAGAGATGGGGAGAGATGGGGAGAGATGGGGAGAGATGGGGAGAGATGGGGAGAGATGGGGAGAGATGGGGAGAGATGGGAGAGATGGGAGAGATGGGGAGAGATGGGGAGAGATAGGGAGAGAGAGGGGCACGAGGCAATTAGGCAAATAAACTACGTTACTAAATCAGTCAAATAACGAGAGCACAGGGAATTGAGTGGGGAAGTAGAAGTTTGATTTGGTTGGTTGATTCGAGGACGCAATGTTTGTCCTGTCGGAATCTAGTGTCGGATATGGATTATCTAGATTGCCGATTTTTGTATTAGTCAGATTGTCAGATAGGGGCATAGTTAGTTAGTAGCAATTCAGTCTCTGGCGACTCCATTGGTTGAGGCATAGATCGGTTCTACCCTGAGTTGCGACGTTTCTACAATTGCCTGAGGTGTGAAATACTCAGATTTTCTAAGGGTTGTTCCATGCTGTACATTCGGTAGAAAGACCAGGGCATTTTGCATATTCCGCACCTCAGCAGCACTAATGCAACACACTGTGTTATGGAACCCGGTTCCCCAGTACTCTAACCACCGAATTTTTAACCGCTCACGTCAGCACTGAAATTTGTTCGTGTGTTGTCTTATTTTACTGTATGGATAGAGTAAGATTTTGAGTTACGGGGACGCTTTTGGGCAATATATTTTTTTCCGGCCGTTTCTTCCTCTGACGTTGTAGTGTCGTAATTGTTCATGTGCAGGAGAGGGTTTTATCCTCAACAGCTTAAGTGCGACTTTTAGACCTCAACTCTTCTCCCCTTTTCTGCAGCTTACTCTTTCTGGAAAAACAAAGCTGTCTAGTCCAAACAGAATAAACTCGGAAAACAATAAATTCGGGGGAAGAAGAACGATAGTTCAGCAGGAGCAATCTACGTCGAATTTCTCAATCACTCTGGCGTACCAACCAGGCTTTCCCCTTTCATACAATCTCATAGCAGTCGCTAAGTCTTGCCTGCGAGAATCTTGTAATGCCATTGAAAGACGGTATCCTTCAGGCAGATTCATCTCTCCCTCCTTCTCTATCACCGCAGTGATATACTTTTGTCTGTCAACATGCCTTCGTACGCTTTCTGCATCCTTTGGGACCCCGTTCTCGTCGTAATTCCAAGGTGCATCCATATCAGGCGGGACTACCGACAAAGTTAATGGAAACTCGCCAAAAATTTCCCACGGCCCCGCAAAAGCAGCTTCCCAGTCAATAACACCCAACAAATTATAGTTGTCATCGAAAACCATGTTATTATGACCAAAATCACCGTGGCACAATGGAAAGGGGCCCTTATCCTGAACGGAAAGTTTGCTAGCGAAAGCTCGGACTGAGGATCTGAAGGAAGACGCAGAGAAAGAGAGCTCGTCTGCAAATTCGCCCGCTGCTTCTTTGAGCTTTGCACTGGATAGTCCGAACTCAACTGTTTCTGCCCACTTCTGGAAGAATTCAGTGGCTGTTGCAAATGGGCCGCCTATACCCGGTATAGGCCCTTGTTCGAATGAACCGTCATTGTTCCTGCGGAGAATAGTTCCAATTTTTGGTAGCTGCACCCTCGACAGCTCAATCTGGGAAGTGAAATGTTAGTATTAAAAGGCCTTTAATTAGTGTGAATGCGAGCGGACGATGCTGAATACCTGAATTTCCGCCATTTTCCCAAAGACGTGGTTTTTGTGGCCATCCGGGATCTCCATGCCAAGATCTATGCCGACATTGCCCCTCAAGCAGTCTATTAACATAAATTGTGCGTTCACTGCGTTCTCGGGATTAAGCTCCGCGGCATGAACCCTGGGAACCAGAATATTTGTCTTCTGCTTGACTAGCAGAATCGTGTTGTATTCGTTGCTCATAATGTGCTTCGTAATGGTAGTTCTGGCTTGGTTGCCCGATCGATGTTGCATTCGCAACCGAGCGATCCAACGCACATTATCGTCAAATTCAATGATCCGGACCACATGGTTGAATCCAAGGCCGATGTCTGAAAGCAGTTTGCACCCTTTTCCGTTCCGCAAACTGGCCGCGAATTCAATGAGCGCTTCCCACTTTACTGATTCGATAAAGCTCTGGACACTTGAACGGAGTGCTTCATCTGCGAGTGAAGTAAAATAGGACCATCGATAGCCTGCGAAGACGCCGTCGTCTAGAGCAAGGTAAGCAGTCTTCCATTTTGGAGGGGGAAAGCATCTCGTACCAGACATCGTAAATGAAAGGATCTTGGAGAAACAGGAATAGAAAGACGCGGGTTCGTAGAAATAGTCCTCAACTTTCAAATTAGCGGTGAAGCTACTGCCTAATTAACTCCCTATTCTCTCCCTATCTCTCCCAATCTCTCCCTATCTCTCCCATCTCTCCCATCTCTCCCTATCTCTCCCATCTCTCCCCATCTCTCCTCATCTCTCCCCATCTCTCCCCATCTTTCTTATTTTCGACAGCTTGAAGATTGACCAGGTCATGATATCAAACAAACCCCCAAGCCCAGGGTCGCATCACCAGTGACGTATCATATGTATCGTTATCATTTCCCTAAAGGTCTTTCCTTGGAAGCGATTCATCCGGATGGCCTATACCAATAAATATAAATAGTGTACGAGTCCTCCCGAGTGAATATTTTATTTTCCAAGCTCATTACTATCGTTCTGATTCTGCCACCTTATCACCAAGGTGCGTTGACTTTCTCTTTCTGTCTTTCTCTTCATCGTGGGCAAAAGCAGTTTATTGACTGTAGGCAGTTATTACAAAAGACCATCTATCGTTTTCGGTGATCGCTACAATGCAGTCAACTCAGGTATTTGCTGAACTTCTCGAAATACTTGGGATGCCAACTTGCGCGTATGCTAATCAAGGCACTTGGAGAGACAGGACATTAGCAATATGGCTACCGAACCAGCACCTAACCCGGTCAATTTAAGTAGCGTCTATACCGAGTGCTGCAGATTGGGCTGTAAAAAAATGGTTAAGAGAGGAGAAGTTTGCGAATGTGGTATGCAGAATTGAACATACAGTTCGCCGTTACTGCAAAACACCACTGGGTTCGAATTGCCAACTCGGGAAATTTCTTGGATCCTCAGAATACCACTCGTTATGCGCCAAAGGAGGCCCTAAGATTCCATGCATAGGCGTCTCTATATCTCGCGACATCCTTCTGAGGTCCACAATACAACATCCATTCGCTAAAATACTGACTCAATTTTTGTTTCCCGTATGCTCCGCGGAGTCGGTGCCTTAAGATACATCTTCTCCTTAATTTGTATTCGAAGGATTACGGTCCATCAAGGACTCCATGATGTTAAGGACCTAATCATTTTTCTGAACCACTCAGCCTTTTAGTATGACTGACCCTTCGTTAATCACCATTCGTTATGGCCACATCTTCTGGCAGAATATCGTTGGCCACATGTGGGCATGATAGATTTTTGCACACGTGGAAAATGGCTTGGTAAATGCGATATAATAACCGTTTAATTTAAATGACGAGGCTTCTCAGTTGTGCATTTACCACTCCCAATTCACCATTATCCCAATTAGTCAGTCCCTTTTACAAGCACCGGCCCTATTTATTGGAACATTTAACATGAATAAAACTGCGGGGTCCATTGGTCTCTTGTTTGATCACTATCGTCTGCCGAGGGCTTTCTTTTGACCATCAAATTAGTTGAGCATACAAAGTCATTATAGCCACTTTGTTGAGAACATGAGAGGATTGCGGATTTGGATTTTTTCTGCAGAAGAAATCAGTAGCGGAAGGGAGCGACCGATAACCACGTGACCGAGCGCGGACTTGGATTTCTTCTGCAAGAGAAATCAGTCTCGGAGGGCAGGAACACATCCACCACGTGTGCCACGCGTACTGTTACGAGTTGACGGGAGGTAGCGGACTTGGATTGCGAACTTGGATTTTGATGAGATACGGCTACGGTAGGGGCAGCAGTATCGATGTGTGAGAGGGATGAGGAGTGGGATTGCTGAGGGGGAGAGATTCTACCTAAGCTATGGACTGTGGTGAGTGGCAGAATCACATGCCATGCAAACACCCTTACAAAACAAACGCTGTGAACCCACAGGAAGTTTGTGTGACTACCGCAACAACGTAGTCTCCCTACTCTGCTCAGCTCACACAGCTAAACACCACTTATCTGTTTCAAGGAGCTTGGCAATCGCGGGGAACAGAGGAAATATTGTCCTATTCTCGCTCTCCGAAAACAAGACATACTTGACAATCTTGATAACCCCGAGTTTAGTCCATGACCACTGCTGATGTTGGTTACAGTACAGTATTAATTGATCTCTTAATTCTTCACGAGCAGGATAATATGGTAAACATGTGATATCTCATCTGCTTAGCTTCCTAGACTCACGGTCACCTCGCGTTTGGGACCTTTGGGGACGAAAAGGCGCCTTTGGTGGAACTCCGTGGCACTTCATTGGCTGCTATAAAGCGGAACAATAACTCATGCATACCCCAGCAAGACGTATTCTCCAGTTACCTTGGTCAAGATCCTTAGTCAACGTTTGACGCGTCCCAATAATGCTTTCATATATACGGTGCATACTATAAAGAACAGCACATACCTGCATTCATCCTGTTCTGCACCCGATATATCTTTCGTAAATAGATGCCGAAGGGCATATTGTACGACTCCATCGTTCTTTCCTGTAGTCAGCATCATCCAACACTAACAATGGGAAGGAAGTATCTCAACCAGCATCAGACCCAAGCGAAGGACGAGCATCGAACGCCTGCTCAAATATTTCTAAAGGTTCTTTACGATCAGCCATTATCATCGTGACAATTACAACCCACTTGCACTGGAATTATTCTGACCTATAGTGGAACTTATGAACTTCCGATTATCACTTTAGACCTACATCTCTTTAGTCGAGGCTGGACTTGTTGAATCTGGCTTTGACGATGATAACTCGACTGCGACAGATTCCCTGTCCCAATGGCGCGGTAAATGAAGTGCGGCTTGCTCACATTCTTAGACTGTATGATGTGAGAGAGGGATAAGGAGTGAGATTGCTACTGAGGAGGAATTTGACCATAGTGAGCGGTTGTGACGCATTAAAAAAGGCCAATATGCGAACTGGCGAGTTTACTGACCAGTTGGCCAGTGAATGGAGAGGAACTAGAAGGATCGAGGAGGAGATCACGTGACCCATGTTTTGTGTTCACGAAAGTCAGGTGATCATATTCGTGTTGTTGTGTGTTGGAATCTTCCACACATGAGGGTTGTCTATTTTTCTGGGTACTTCTATGTGGAACCTTCCGTGCGAGTCTTTCCATGGGGATCTGCCGCCACGCCGCCGCTCTATCCCACAATTTGGATTTGAGGCTTGACTTCGCCTCCCTCGCTTCTTCCTTTTCCTTTTCCTCTTCGTCTTAAACTCTGTTTCATAGAACACAGTTGCTTCACCTTCTTCCCTCCTTACGTAAATTCTTGTAGCTGTACTGCCTTGGAGTTACATTTGATGAGGTTGCCCGCCAGTCGGAATTACGCGCGAGGACACCGTGAACGCCGTAATAAACGCGCTCCTCGTCACGGTTTTCCAGAGGTTCATTGAATTTTATGAGGTTCAAAGGTATCATTGTCGTTGGTATATTGTATCGCCAAGTAAGCTACTGAATGTCTCACGTAGTCCCTTGTGTCGACGATCTAGTCCGTTGGGTAACGGTATGATTGTGAAGCTGGTCTCCCCGTTCTGGTGGTGAATGGAAGAGTCACTTCAATCACTCCTGTTTCGTATGGCGTGGCCAGGCAACGAGAGATCCTGATCCCGTTGAAAGGAGGAGCTCGGCCACTGTCAAGGAAGTATGGATGGCACGCGGTAAGACTCGGCTTGCCTTTAGTGCTGTAGAACACACTGGCGGACGGTTTTCCTGCATGTTGGCTGCCTGAGTAGGCTAAATATGCAAATGGAAGTCAATGCGCAAGCCTTCAATATCTAGTAGTCAACAACAAAAGGCGCACTTAACGAATTGCCAAGATACAAGATCAATCTGTAACGACAGAACGTTTCAAAAAGACAATGTGGTATGAAAGGGAATCAAAAAGCAGCCAAAAGCAGCAAAAAAATCTGTCAAACCAACAGATAAGAAGCAGCAAAACCGAGTCTCATCTTAAGAGCTTCTCTACAAACCAGTCACTTGTTTTCACAGTTGAAAGGCCAAGATCCCACCAGTCTAGCGCGCCCATTGAATCTACACCGGGTGCGAGAGACGTATTCCGTGCGCGTGACCGAGCGATCCGGTGCGCAGCGGCAGAGCCCACTGGCCCTTTAAGTTTAGGGGAGATTGATTGTGGTGAGACGTGCCATGCAGCTGGGGAGGCGATGTCATGGGCATGTGGGGAACATTGACGGTGGGAGGAGGCCCTGACCGCTGGGTGGAGCGCTGTGGTCGACCGGGCTGAAGATGTTCTGCCCAGAGGTGGGCGTTGACCAGGCGTCGTAGTGGCCTACTGTGGTGCGTTTTTGGTCCGGTGTGGCCGTTAGGCTAGGGTTATGGCTGGCGTAGTCGAAGACCGAGACATCGTGGGAATTACTTATCTCTGTGGTGACGGGTGTCCTGAGCACTGGTTGCGAGATTGAGTCTGCGTGATGTGGGGGCGTAGCGTTGAATGCGCGGTCGTGGCCGCCTTCAAAGTTGAGTCTCTCTTGTATCGAGAAGTTGCCGGGCATTGAACGGTTCATAGTGGCGATTAGTGTGGTGAGAGAAGCAGAGGCTTACTCCACAGATGAAATGGGTGTCAACAGACCATCTTCGACGCGCTCAAGAACTTCGATGATTGCCGGTACCCCAGCAGACTCGCCATCCTCGTCACCGTCACTCTTGTGGCTGGGGCCCAAATTCTGGACGTAAACGTCTATTTTGGCGTCTGAGAGATGCCCGCTAGTAATCCAGTGTCTGAAATTGATAGGTCTTGACCTACCAACATCCCCGCGCTCAAGCACTCCTCCATTTTTCGCACCTGGAGGATCTCGTAGATAATCTTCATATGAGAAGAACGCTTCAAACTTCGCTTGGTGTCGCCAGCGTCTTCCTTGAGCTTACCGACAGTGATACCATACGTTCCAAGCTTGCGGATGATATGGAGCAGGGAGTTTAATGCCGTCTAGGGATCATCGGTATGCCCAGCAGGTCAGCGGAAAGACAGGGCCATACAGTCTTTCCTCAAGTGGTCAGGCGCCTTGTGTATCA